CATAATAATTGTTTGTTGAGCTACATTCTCTATTTTCATCCAGAATCTGTGTATTTTGCTCACCCGATAACTTCACCATATAAATAGCACTATTGCCTACTGAACAGACAAAACTGCCAGGGGTACAATACGTGATTCTATAGTCTAAAAGAGAAAATCCAGTATATTATGAGAAAAAAAAGAAACTTGATTGAATCATTGTGTGTTAGTGTGTGATAAACTAACATCAGCTTAATTGATGTCTTTTGAATGCAAGTCCTATTCATCATTAAAGGCAGTTTTTAATGAATAGAAAACCTGTAAACTTGATTTAATTTCAAGTACACCCAGAATTTTTCTTTATTTCTGCATGGCCATGTTGATACTAGAGTATATATAGCATTTACTTTTTTCATTACTGAGAAACGTTTCAACATTCATGAAATCAAATAGGTTTCGTAGCCTGTCAGTATTTCAAGATGTTTTGTTTCATTAAATGATCCTTTGGTCTTGCATAGCTCCACAGCCACAAGTCTATGCTACAGGGACCTAACAAAATCGTGCCGGTCGGTTGAAAAATGAAATCACTCTAATAGCCAGTTCGTTCACTCTTACTTTTAAGAAAGACAATATTCTTGATATGATCTAAAATTTTTATTTAGTAATTAGAAAAGTGTGTTACCTCCATTATACGCTGCATCATTATGCACTGCACCAGGATAAGCTGCATCATTGTGCACTGCACTTGGATACGCTACATCATTGTGCACTGCACTTGGATACGCTGCATCATTGTGCACCGCACTTGGATACGCTGCATCATTAAAGACTTCACCATTATACGCTGCATCATTATGTGCTGCACTAGGATACGCTGCATCATTATGCACTGCACTAGGATACGCTGCATCACTATGCACTGCACTAGGATACGCTCCATCATTATACGTTGCACCACTATACGTTGCCTTTGGGATAATGTTGACTGTGTACTCTCTTGTTTCACTATAGTCAGATTTGCCACATTTTCTGATATACTCGTCACTTGACTTGACAACGACGCGCATAAGATGTGTTCCACTTCGCATACTTCGTTCATTGATACTGGGTACAGGTATT